TTTAAATATTATATATTTAAATATTATATATTTAAATATTATATATTTAAATATTATATATTTACTGTACATATATAATAATATAGATATTAAAACATCTATATTTATAGCAAGCAAGCGTCACAATTTATAATAAAGCTACCATACATGACGATTGAGACTAACTTCATTTTACCTGGTTGTCCGAGCCATGCGTATATGAGCAATCGCAATTATCAATTTAAAATAAGAGCAGTTGTCTAACTAATATACTATTATAGTCATTCTCGAGGAATCGTCGTCACGAAGAAGTTTATGGTAGATGCCAATCAAGGCGTTTCTGTGACATCCCATAGGCACGTAAATACGTGTTAAGATTTTCAATGTTACGGCATGTCTTACCACAAGGAGCACTGGTCAAATATTGAGGAAGTCGAACCACCAAAAATTTCATCCAGGTTCACGTTTTGAATTGGAGTATTCTCTATCTTTGTCATAACATCTTTGACAACAGACGACATTAAAATGCCATATTCTAATACATGATTGGTACACTGGAAAATTCCCGCTGTGTGGAGAACCACCAATAGCTTTTTCTCCATCAAAATCCCGAGAGATCCAGAAGACCCTCCGAATAAAGTGCTTACATTGTAGGTAGCATAATCTGGATGATTGCAGGCCTCTTCCATTAAGCTAATGGCCCTAGCATCATAGTCACGTCGATGTTTTTGAATATCTTGCAGAAGCTTGATTGGACAGGAGACATCTATTTGCTTTCTACGTTCTCCAGGGTGCCCAATAAACGTTAAACAGTCTCCACTTTTAAGCTTGTGGCCAGGTGGGACAATATTATAACCTAAGTCAGTTACACTCGGAGGAAAACCCTCACCATTTGAACGCAACTCAAGGATGACATAGTTCAGTGCTTCAGAGTAGAACCGTACGGGGTTAGGTGCGAAACCAAAACGATAGCCAGGGTGATCTTGTTCTTTATAGTTAAAGTCAACATAACAGCTACTCAATTGGATAGCCAATTTACTTATGTCATCAACGACATACTTGTTGGTAATAACATACTTGGTTCCAATTCTGAAACAAGTTGCCCCATAGTTTGGCAAATTACTAATATTTATAGCAATTATTGCACCAACAGAATATTTTATTCTGTTGGAAATTTCTTGCAAATCTGTAACAGGCACCTGATGTTCCAAATTTTTATATTTTCCAAATTCTTCAACTTGCAGTTGGTGAGCCTACAAATTTAGAGAGATATAAACAGTTGATAAACTACGATACATCATTAAATAGATCTCTTATCGAAGAGATGTTCCATACCTTCAAATGGCCATGAAATTTAATACGTTTAATGTTTTTCATAGCAATGTATTCAACTGAATTTCATAGCAATAAAACTGGACGATGAACAGTAATTTAAGAGCAGATGTCCACCAATATCGAACAAAATCGAGAATTCGCGGTCACAGTCAAAATTTCGTTTTTGCTCATTTTTGGTTTGCTGGAAGGTATTACCAAGTAAACAAACGTGGAGTAGTTCGTTTTTCAAAAAACCGCTAAGATTATGAGAAATTCGATAAAAACTGTTGGCCCAGCAGCAATCTCAAAAGTATGCAAATTTTCAGTTGAATCAAACAGGTCCAAAAACAGCTAAAGCATACAGAATAGGAAAAAGATATGAAAACTATATATTTATAAACTGATAGAAGAGATGTTTGACACTTGATTGGATATAAAATAATGGTTTTAGCTATTTATTGAAAGCGGTCAGATGATATTTAGAATTGAGTGGTATTCGCACATAGATATGACCCTTGTTATGCAAAAAAAAACTGAACTATTTAGATGTTCTTCCAGAACATTCTCTACTTTCACATCCCCATAATGCTTTGGGTCAAAAAACTGTCCCAAATTGAAAGGTTTCTTAATTGCATTTATACTATACCTGCTTTTATATGTACAATACTGATTATCAGTTTATTTTAAGTTATATTTGCGTGTACAGATCATGAAGAGTTTTGGCCTTACAGAAAATGTATTGGCCTACGAAAACATTTTTACAATTTACCTTAAACGTCTTCAASCTTCTATCTTTTTCTGTTTTTTTCTTCTTCATTTTATTTTTGGATACCAAACAAGGTATTGTCAACATTGTCTGATCAGCCTTCAGCAAAATAAGTGGGTTTTTACCATGTGGTTACCCCCAAAGACGCAAAGTATTATGGGGATGTGAAAGCAGAGAATATCCAAAAATGAGCTTGGATTATTTTATTTAGGGTTCATACGAAAAGGCAATGAATATTGGGTATTTTTCACATATACCTTGACTGAAATCGACAAGTGTTTTTTCTTTCTGGTCACTATTTTCTCATTGGTTTCTATTTTCATCCGGAATTTATGCTCAAAAATGCATTTCCTCTTAAAACCACCTCTTATTAACAATTTACATTATTTTAGCAGTTACGACATTCTGTTAGGTAGATTTTCTAAAGAAACTAACAGTCAGGTTAAGCCAGTAAAACTGACACAATTGACGACCTACTGTAAGATTTAAATACCTGCTCCTCTTTCAGCCCTTGACTCAACACTAGATCAACTGTTCAGAAAGATAGGAAAAACACTGATATTAATTATACTAACTACATACAATGTAATCTGACTGGACCATACCAACCACTTCATGCTATATATATACATGCAGTCCTACCACTCTAACTGACATCCATACATCTATGCACTATATACCACATGAGTCCATCCATACATCTATACACTATATACCAGATGAGTACATCCATACACTATATACCAGATGAGTACATCTATACACTATATACCAGATGAGTACATNCATCCATACATCTATACACTATATACCAGATGAGTACATCCATACACTATATACCAGATGAGTACATCTATACACTATATACCAGATGAGTACATTCATACATCTATACACTATATACCAGATGAGTACATCCATACACTATATACCAGATGAGTACATCTATACATCTATACACTATATACCAGATGAGT